TCTTTATATTTTTATTAATAATTTATTTTTCGTTTTCCCTAAAATGTTAGAAGTTTACCCATACTCTAAAATCATGTAAATGATGGATATTGAACATTATAATATTGTTGGAAGAGTTAACGATGAAACATGATAATTAATCTCAATAGGAACATGCAATGAAAAAAGAACAACTAATTAATCACACTTAATTGAAAGAAAGAAAAAAAACCACTCTTCCATTTTTTTTATTCTTCAAATCTAAAATCACTGCACTAGATTTCAAAACAGGACCTACAAGTACAAACTAAATATTTGGATTAGAAAAGAACTGCCTAACCATAAAGGAACGCTGCAATAATTATGCATTTTGGCAACTTCAGTTCAACGAGCCATTTTTTTGCTCTGGGAAAGGACAATCTGTTTCGGGTCATCGCTTCTTTTCAAGTACTTTCTTGAACCAATAGGCAGACATCTTGGGGTATCTGCGGAGGTTGCTGCGGTCAACATAAACAATGCCGAACCTCGACGTATATCCTAACAACCATTCGAAGTTATCTAGCAACGACCATGCAAAATAGCCGGTCACATTTGCTCCTTCATCCATAGCTTTCTTCAACTGAGTCATGTAACCCTTGAAAAACTCTATCCTTGAGGTGTCCTTCAATCCATTTGAAAGTGTAGCGTTCCCTGGATCATCCATACCTGTCACAATTTTCACCAATATTTACTTCATTTTCGAATTCGGAATCCTTACATCCCTTCTTTGTATAAGAAAAAAGAACACCCAAATAGAATAACTGTAAATATATATATATATATATATATATATATATATATTGCCAATACTTACCATTTTCGGAGATAAATATATTTACATCCCCATACCGCTCTTTCAAATAAGTCACAGTTTTGTACATACCCCAAGGTACAATATAAAGCCACCAAGAATTTGCCTGCAAATTTTAGAAGCGTATAATTACTTCAATAGAATAGAATATGGGTATGTTTCCATTTAATATGAAAAAAAGGCTAAAATAGAAGGAAATACTGTTGGTTATAACTTCTAATCCTATTGAAATTACCTTTGGACCAATTTGCACTCCATTCTTTGCATCTGCAGATGGTGAACACAATGTAGAACATTGGTTTCATATATTGAAATAAAATCACAAAGCATTAGCTAAAATCTGCTCACTAGGGAGGACTTACTGGCAAAGGCTGCATTCCAGTCGTTCTGGTAGCTTGTGACGTTTGGTTTAGGCCCTTTAGGATTAGAAATATAGCTTGTAGTATATTGATTGATGCCTACATAATCCGCTGAGCCATTCACCATCTTAACCTCTTCCTCGGTAAACTTTGGCAATCTTTCTCCCACAATTTCTTGCATCGTTCTTGGATACTCACCATATCGAATGGGATGCAGAAACCTATCCAGAATGTGAAATAATATTTAAGATTCTCTAAACTACACAAGACAGCTCCTGATCTTCTTCAGGTTAAAAGGAAAGAAAATCAAGAGAATTGAGATTTCAACGTGATCAAAGGGTAAAGGAAGCTATCAATGCCAAAGAAGGGTCATGATAAAATGCTGTTACATTTCAATTTTGGTTTGAGGGTCACATTCCGTACACATCTGAATAGAAGTTTTGGACGAAGAGAAACAGGTTTGTTGTATAATTAAGTGCAAAATCAGATGATACAGTGATAATTTTCCAACAAAAGAAATCTAGAATAGAAATTTTAATATAAGATTGAGACATACCAGCCAACATGAAAATCTCTAGCTCTTTGAGCTGCATAGTTATCAGCCTTTGATCTTGTAAGAGGTTCGTACCAATTAAAATCCAAGAGAATTCCAATCCTCCCTTGTTGCTTTTCCTGAAGATACATCCAGTTCCAGGTCAATTTATAATCCTCAAGATTATTACAATCAATTATGATAAATATCGAAGGTGAATATTAACTGCAGAGAGCCTAAACTGTATAATATAAACCTTAAGGCTGCGATCTGGACATGTACAATGGAGACATTAACTGACCTGGTATTTTTGACGATATCTTTTCACTGCTTCAGCATGGCATAAGAGTAGATTATGGGCAGCAATGTAAGGCTCAGTTGCAGAGTTTCCAGCAGTACAGTTTGCAACTTCCTTGGAGCACCTTGAAGGAGGATTGAGGCCATTATCAAAGCCAAGAGCAGCCACAATCCTTGGTTCATTAAATGTAAACCAGTTCTTGACTCTATCGCCAAATGTCTTGAAGCAAAACTCTGCATAATTCACATAATCCTCCCTGAAATATTTGAATCAAATTAAATGCTAACCATTTGAGACAAGATTTCCAAGAATACAGGGTTCAATAATTTATGAGAACCACAAGAAAAGAAGAAAAAAATGTTCTACTAACACAATTTGGCGGTTCAGGTAACCACCATACTTTTCCTGAAGAGCTAGAGGGAGGTCATAATGGTTTAAGTTCCCGTAGGGAGTAATGCCTACAAAAGGAATGAATCAGCAGAGGTTTTCATTTCGTAGAGAAAGCTTTTAAAGCATTTCATACAGATCATAACCACCGTGAAAAACATGTCATGGAATTGAAAATTGGTGTCAAGCAATGGGAATTCATTTCATTCACCTTTCTTAACCATGTAGTTGATCAATCTATTGTAATAAGCAACTCCCTCCCAATTTATTCTTCCAACTCCCTCTACAAAAATATATATAAACAACTCAATTTAAACAACAATAATTAAAAAGAGTCAAATGAATAATATTTAATAAAGCAATAATTAAAACAATTGAGCCATTGGTGCAATACCAGGAAAGATCCTTGACCATGAAATAGAAAACCGATAAGCATCGAAGTTGAATTTCGCCAGTAAATCTATATCTTCCTGTAGAATTATAGAGGGACATGGATAAACAGAATTACATGTTAATATTAATCGGATCATATTTATTAAATCATTACAAACAAATTTTTAAGTGAAGACAGTAACCTTGTAGCGGTGGTACTGATCCACAGCCACGTCAGCTGTATCATTATTGGCAATGTGGCCTGTTCAAACAAAAGGAGAGAAAATTTACAAAAATAAATAAATAAATAATGACGAAGATTCATTAAAATTAGTAAAATATTGTAATTAATTTATGTTTTTAGTCCAAACATCCCACGAACAATCTCTTGAGAGTTGAGCACGGTGATATTCCACATGCTATTTTATTTTAAAATCATTACTATGAGTCAGTAAATTTTTATAAAAGTTGAATCAAATTAACCCCCAAAAAAAAAACCAATTTGAATGCAGAAAGAAACGATTTGAACAACAGTAGGTAAACTTCAATCGATTCGAATTTGAATGGACTCAAAACAGAAATGACATTGTTTTTCAGAAATTATAATAAAAAGGTGGTATTACCTGGTTGTTTGACATAAACATCCCAGATGCAGGGCCCTCGGCCGCCCTGACCGCTCATCCCTTCAACTTGATAAGCAGAAGTAGCAGTTCCAAATACAAATCCCTTGGGGAAGCTTTCTCTGCTAAGCCCTCCGGTGTCGCTCACTGTCTCCACATTCCGGCGCTGCCTAGCCGCATGTGCAATGCACAGAATCGCAGTAAAAGCATAACACAAGAGCCACAGCTTCATCACTGTAAACCTCACTTCACTGCTAAAATCAAAGAAACAACAGTGCAAGTGATTGAGATTGAGATTGAGATTGAGATTGAGATTGAGATTGAGGACACGGCTATTTATAGATAGGATTTATTTATTTATTTATAGATAGGAAATTTTGTTCTCATCTATACGGAGCCCAATTTACTTGGTCTAAGATTTTTTAATTATTTTTTCATAGCTATATATTATATATTAAACATTTTATAAATATATTTTAACAGTATAATCATTTTAAAATTTTATTTAATATTTATATAATTTTTTGGGGGAAATTATAGGTTAAACTCATTCCATTTTCTTAAAAATGACCGATTCTTCTTTCTTTCTAGAAATTGTCAAATAATTATGGAATATTAATTAGGAAAACAATAATCTTGAGTTCAATATAATTTTAGTAGTGCATTTCTGAACCTTAGTTTAATTAGTTTAAAGATAAATTAATATGTTGAAAATTTTAAACTTTAATTAAAGAAATTAAAAGTAATAATGGTATAGTTAAAAAATCAAATCTAAACTGAATTGATTTGAAATTGACTCAAACCCCTTTTTTTATCTGTTTCGGAATGCGGTTGGCTCATTTCAATATTTTTATAAAAATATTTTTAACAGTATAATTTAGTTTTTCAATAGTTATCTAAATAGATATTTATTTTATATATTATAAGACGAAAAAATAAATGTTTTGGGTGATTCAAAAATAATAATTTAAAATAAAAATTAATTCTGTTTGAATAATTAAAATGTGAATTTTTATCATTATGTTTTTTTCCTAAAAGTATGAGATGTTTATAAGGTAATATATATTCAAAGTATTTATTAAGTTATTGACAATACACACGTAATTGTTCAAACTCGAGATATCTAAGAAAAATAACTCTCTTACCACTGAAGTTTTTTCTTTTTTACTACTAAAGTTACTTGACGGAAAAAATACCCTCTTTCCCTCCTAAAAATTAACATTTGTATATACAATCATTTTAAATATTAATAATATTGTATATATACAATAACAATAAAGTATTATCAAATATATTTTATTTAGTATTCATCTATTTAAAAATAAAACATATTTTTATCTTATACTGACATTTCTCTTCATTATTATAGAAATTAAAAATCATGAAGATGAATAAATTTCATTTTATACGAAAATAATTGTAAATAAACAAAATGTTGATAAGGTGGATAAATAAAAATTATTTTATAAAAAAAGGTGAATGATCCAAATATATGACGAGGTGTGCATGATTCTCTCCACTCGCAAATTCCAAGAAGATGAAAAACAAACCAACCTAAACGACAAATGAGGCCCAAAATATGGCATTTGTGTGCAAATAAATCAATAAAAAAGAAATTAATCTCCATTCATTTGCCCTACATTGTCCATTTGGGAATCTTATCAATGGAATACATCACTTGTGATTTCAACCTCTTTGAATTCATAGAAGCAGCTAAACTCTACTATCAAAAAAATCCCAATACTGCTGAATATTGAAGTTTCATTTACGTAACGCTTGTCGGTTAAACCTGCACAACATAACCCAGAATTCTCTTTAAGAGCTCACGCTCTAGGCCAAGGCAACATCTTAGTAGTTCCATGTATTCTTGCAGCACTCATCGCCAGAAAGAACTACTAAAATCACTTAAAAAAGTACCGTATAGTACTATGCTCCATGAGATTGCATTTCTGAAGGATCTATTAGACCTTCTAATACAACAAGCTGATCCAGTAGGGCAAACTTTTCATCTTCAAGACCCTTGACCTCATCTTCAACTTCTTTAAGCTCTTTACCCAATGTGAAGCTTTCTTCCTCCAGTAGCAAATACTTGCGCCTCAGCATGCGGTACTCGTTTCCAGATGTAGAAGAGTCTGGTAATGAATCTGAGTTAGATCTCTCAGGTTGCTGAAATATTGAAGCCATTTCATACTTCGAGTTCCTTTTCAATGTTTTCTTCCCTGTTTTTAATGGTAGGGATCCCTGTAGCTGCTGAGCCCCTTTAATATTATTTCTTTCTACTGGAAACAGGGGCCCTTTGTTAGTGGAGCTTTTCTTTTTCCGCATTTTAGGATTCAAATCCTCCTCTGATGGTGGCATCCTTGGATCTTGCATTCTCACTGCTGAAAACAACACAATGATTAAAGAATTAGCATATAAGTTTTCTTTTTCCTCTATAGCTTCTGAGAATCATGTATGCAAGCATAACTTTAAAGATCCTCACTGATAAACACATGATTTTGGCATGCTTAACACTCTAAAAAGTCTCGGTAAGAATCGTACTTATCAAAAACAATTATAGATACACGGATGAGAGAGGCATGGGAAATGATTAATGTAGTATCAAACCCTCTAAAGGTTAACGCAAAACATACGAAATCAGTTTATGCATATTATACGACTATCCAACTCATCCCTAAATCCCATTTCAACTTTAGAGCAGACTACGCAGAAGCAACAACGCATGATGAAAATATGTTTTTATGCCCTATATCCTTATCTACCCAGAATCAGGAAATGATTAAAGTTAAATTGTCTCATCCTCACGAGGCTTACGGATGATTCAAGTTCAAACTAATATCGTAGTCGCCGAGGGAGCATTTCAAACAGTTAAAAGCCCATACACATTAGGTTCAAAGATAGGGAAATTAGAAAACATTGTGAAGGAACTATGTACGTAAACAACCCATATTTAATCTATTACAAATGGAACCTTACAACCGCTTGAGTAAACATCCAAATTACGCCTGCAAATCCCGATTTCCAAACTCTCCAATTACAAGGAATAAAACCCAACCATCTATTCTTCATAACCAGCACCGTTTAGAACAAAACAGATCCCCCATAATTTCAAATAAATGAAACATCATGTTACTTACAAACAGGAAATTAACATTATACCTTAATTAAGATGCTAATAAAAACATGAATATCTAAAAAAAGACTCAATTGAAGTTAATTATGCCCTGAATTTTTCAACTAAAACAGAACACTTACTACAGGAACATATGCAAACCGTGAATATGAAAACAGTTTTTGATCATCTAGAAGCCGTAATCTAAAATAGAAATTCATCAAAAGTGATAATCAATGAGAGAAACTTTACCTTGGGAAACAGAAGACGGAGTTTGGGTTCAGAAAAATAGGATTGGCTTAATAATCGAAGGAAGGGGAATTGGGTAGGTTTTGAAATCGAGGGTTCTGATTTAGGGTAAAGAAAAAGAAAACGGGAAAGAGGATATAGAGGAAGATTGGAGTAGGAAACAGTAAAACCTTGTATTACGAGCATTGTTCATCCTCTCTATCCGTATTTGGTGATGTCTTGTTTTACCGTATTTTTTTTCCTTTATAAGGGTCGGGTGACCCATTCGAAAAATGTATTTTGAAAAAAAAAATTTGTAAATATCACCGATTATAAGTAATTATTTTATTGAATTATCTATTAAAAACTACAAAATAATTCTTTTACTTTAAGACTTTGTTTTATTGAGTTTCCGATTATTTAAAGTTATAAAATGGTCACTGACTATTCATATGTTCCAAAATTATTTTTTTATGTTTAAAAAATTGATGTTCGTCTAATTTGGATGTTAACTCGTTGATTGAATATGATGAAACTATATTTTAATGGTGTATGCCGGTATTGTCATTACTTTTAAGCATTGATTCAACAACATAGTGTAAACGGAGATTCGATCCGTAAAATATAACTAAAATGATTTTGGGACTAGATTTTATCGTATCTTAATCAATAGGTTAACGTTAATCTCAAACGATCATCATTTTTTTAATAAAAATGACGATTTTAGAATATATGAATAGTAAGATGACCATTTTATAACTTTTAATAGTCGTATGACTCAACAAAGTAGTGTCCTATAATCGAGGGATCATTTTGTAACTTTTAATAATAAAGAGACTTAACAAAACAATACCATATAGTTGGATCAAACTTTTAATATATTCTTATTTCTTACTGTTACTCTCAACATTCTATTTCCACCCATTCAATGATCCTATATTTATTTAAAATTAAAATATTTTACACTATGTAATTGGATCATCTCTTTCTAAAATTATAATTTTAATGATAAGATGACATGGACATGTGAGGAGAGAGATGAGTGAAATATGAATGTTTTGATATTAATATTGTCGCAAAGGGCAATTGGTGACAGTCAATATTTCACTGTTAACGGTGGTTGAAAAACTTCAACGCCTATAACTGGACCTTTTAAAAGTTTAGTGATAAAATCGATACACCCGTAAAGATTCAATGTCTAAAACAATGACTTTTTGGACATCAATAACCTATTAAAACGACGTCATCTTATCTATAATATCACAATAATAGAAAGATCTGTCCACATAATTGTGCGTAAAATTTAGTGGTTCAATGATATTATTGGAGTTAAAAATCAATGGTTAGTGCTAAAATTGAAGCAATTAAAAGTTTAATGATATAAATAATATATCATCTAAAGTTTAACAATTTCTAGTGTAGTTTACCTGTATACATATATATATATACAGGAGTTTATATATTTAAATTTTTTTGGGTTGAGTATTTTTAGAAGGGATTAAGTTAGATCAGATTTTGTTTTAGGAGGAAAAAAACTAATTGACCTTATTTTTATATATTTAGATGATTACAATAATACAATTATTTATATTATTTGTTAATTAGATCCTTATTTTAGTGTATGTGTATACATGGGTCGTGTTGAGACAAATGTGGATTTTTATCTTAAAAATCAAGTTGAGTAGAGTTCATCTAAATTTAAATCGGGTTAGATGCAGATGAAAATATTTGACTTTCTAGTCAAATTTAGGTAAACAAATTTAGTTTTATTGAAATTAAGTCTTCATATTATATCGAAGTCTAAAATGATTTTTTATATAAATTTCAAATCTAATTCTAGTTCTACTAAGAGAGGAGGAGAAGAGAAACTCTAAGGAAAAGAATGAGAGTACTATTGATGAGTCTAGAACCAGGACCTTAGAAAATATGAAATAATAAAGATGAGTAGCTTGAACAACCAACCAAATACGGTTACTCATGCCTAAGATGAATTTTAAATTAATGTACCAATTAAAAAGTTATATATAAAATAAATCCAAAAATAATGCTAATTAAAAAATAAGTTTAAGTATTAAATAAACTTTAAAAATCATATACTCTATTCATCCTACTAAAATTCTCATTGACTTTTTTATAGTTAATTTTTTAATTTTATTTTTTATTAATAAAATTTTTAAAAATATATTTTAAAAATCATAATTAAATATTTAAATTATTTATTATCAAAATTAAAAAAATGATTACCGAACGATAATGAAAGACAAATTTAATAAGACCGGAGAGTATTATTAAGTATTTAAAGGCAAGTTGGATAAAAAGAAAAAGGGAAAGGAATTTAAAAAACGAGGGAAAACAAAATCTCATCAGGTGGAGGTAACATGAATAAAGTAAGCAAATACAGTAGTTTTCCTACAAAAACAGAGCATATAAATTATGAATGCATAAAGTGACAAACTTTGTTATTATTAAATAATTTCCAATTCCAGTTTTTCAATGGAAAGTTTTGTTTTTTGCTCACAATTTGTTAATCGAAAGCTGCAAACGATATGACTAAAAGGCCTATTAAAATCAGCTCTCTTTCCTGGATGGAGCGTCGTATAAATTAAATTAATAAAATAACGAGAGAGATTCGATGAAAAAAAAGGGTCTATAGATTGATGATGCTCGATGTTTTCCAGCATCTTCCTCCTTTTTATGAAAAGAAGACCAGTTCCAGAAGCTGCAGCTTTGAAAAATGATGGGTCAAGTTGTATGGCTTACTGTGTTCTTGATTTTACATTTAATGGCGGCTATGGCAGAAACCCAGAATCTGAAAACAGAAACCTACCCGTTTGGGCCATTTGACAGTTCCTATTACGACAATTTCGACGTCATAAAGCCAGCTACAATCAGCAACGATGCCCTTCAATCATACATTTAAGCTTTGGGATGGAGATTCCAAAAAGAAAACAGTTCGCAAGGTAGCTTCATTTAATACGTCTTTTCTTATCAATATCTTTCGAGTTAATAACTCGGTTCCCGGAGAAGGTGTCGCTTTCCTCGTTGCCTCAAACACCGCCCTTCCTCCCGGCAGTTCCGGACAGTATCTAGGACTGACGAACTCATCCACTGATGGTCTTTCCTCCAACAACCTTGAGGCCATCGAGCTCGATACTTTTAAACAGGATTTTGATCCGGACGACAATCATATTGGTCTAAACATCAACGGCGTTCGCTCTAAAAAGACTGTGTCTTTGTCCGATTTTGGCATCCAAATTGCTCCGAATGGCACCAAGTTTTACGTTGTGTGGATTGAATATAATGGCTTAAACAAGTCGATACAAGTTTACATAGCCGAGCAGGGTCAGGTTTCTTCCCCAACACCTCCCAAACCCTCCAAGCCAGTCCTCAGCACTGATCTTGATCTCAGCAGCATTGTCAAACAATAATCATATTTTGGCTTTTCAGGATCAACAGGCAGCCATGTTCAGCTCAACTGTGTGCTGAGATGGAACTTGACTGTCGAAATACTTCCTGGTGGGAACAGAGGATCAGATTTGTTCAAGATTTGGATTGCAGTTGGAGTCACAGTATTTGTTCTTGTCCTTCTCGGAGGATTAACTTACTATTGGTACAAGAAACGTAAAGCCAGGTCTGATCCTAACATACTAGGAGCACTCAAGAGTCTTCCGGGGACTCCCAGGGAGTTCAAGTTTAGAGATTTGAAAAATGCCACCAATAAATTTGATGACAAGCACGAGCTCGGCCAAGGCGGATTCGGAGTCGTCTATAAAGGGTCGCTTCCAAAGGAGAATCTCGAAATCGCGGTGAAAAAGTTCTCTGGAGACATCAAGGGAAAAGATGATTTCGTGGCTTAGCTTACCATCATCAACCGGTTGCGCCACAAGCATCTTGTCCCCTTGCTAGGTAACTTATGTTTACAAACCCTTGTCTCCATTGTTATCATTAAGATTTAGGCCATTCTATAAAACTTGACTTTAACAAGTTTACTTAAACTCTTAATTAATTGTTAGCCATCTCTTTTCTTGAAATCTTCCATGGTCTGTTTAATGAAAAATACAAGGTATCTAATATTGCTGCGTATCTGTCATACTTGACAATGAGAGAACCTATCCTTATATTATTTGATAAATAGAATATTTTTTAAATGACAATGTTTAATAACTGTGAATTCAAACTCAGCATTTGTATTATTTATTAACTTATTGTGACGTTTGTTCCTTTTTATTTGCAACAAAATACTAAAAAATATCTACATCACTTGGTAGTTGATCATAAAGTATACTTTTTTTCCAAACGTGATAATTTTTTGCTTGTTGGAAAACATTATCATTCGTATTGTCCAATGCAACATCACATGGCAACGTGCAAGAGTTGGATGGCTGCAGTTCTAAGAATCTAAACGCATATATATATATAGTTTATTAGCACCAGTTATCTTCAATCCTAAGTATATTAAGTTCATTGAAATTTTGAATAAACTTGCAGGGTGGTGCCACAAGAACGGCATGCTGCTTTTAGTATATGATTACATGCCGAATGGGAGCTTAGACGCTCATATATTTTGTGGCCCGGAGAAGACTACACTTGATTGGAGTTTAAGATACAAAATCGTATCAGGAGTAGCCTCTGCTCTACACTACCTTCACAACGAATATGACCAAAAAGTGGTACACCGGGACCTTAAGGCTAGCAACATTATGTTGGACTCTAACTTCAATGCCCGGTTAGGTGATTTCGGGTTGGCTCGAGCTATAGAAAACGAGAAGACATCTTACGCAGAGCTTGAAGGAGTGCCTGGCACCATGGGGTACATTGCCCCCGAGTGTTTCCACACCGCAAAGGCCACCAGGGAGTCCGATGTTTACGGATTCGGTGCGGTTTTGCTAGAAGTGGTGTGTGGGCAACGTCCTTGGACTAAGATAGGTGAGTTCCTGCTATTGGTAGATTGGGTCTGGTGTCTACATAGAGAAGGGAGGATACTCGAGGCAGTCGATGAGAGGCTAGGCAATAACTATGTAGTTGAAGAAGCCGAGAGATTGTTGTTACTTGGCCTTGCATGTTCGCATCCTATTGCAAGTGAAAGGCCTAAAAACACAGGCAATCATTCAGATTCTATCAGGGTCCATGGCAGTGCCCCATGTTCCGCCTTTCAAACCGGCATTTGTTTGGGCTTCAATGCCGGGACCGGA